TAACACGAGCAATTCATCAATTCTCTGGGGACTGGTTGGGCAGTGAGAAGGGGGCCTGGATTGCAGGTGTTAGATGGGATGGAAAGCCGGCCCAGGGGTGCAACCAGGAGGAGTTCAGGAGAGACTATCTGCTTCAAGGATTGGACTACAGTGGGTCAGGAAATCCCGCTGAGACCTGCAACAGATTTTCCGGACCCCTTCCCCCCTCACCAGCTGGCAATGGTGGATATGCAATGCTATGGAGCGGACTGAATGGGCAATGCACAGCCATGGAGCGGACAGGAGAGACTACCGGATCTGCATCAAGGATGAGACTACAGTGGATCAGGAAATCCCCCCGAGACCCGTAACAGTTTTTCCTGCCCCCTTCCCCCCCCACCAGCTGGAAATGGTGGACATGCAATGGTATGGAGCGGACTGAATGGGCAATGCACAGCTACGGAGCGGACTGGCACAGTTGAATGAATAAATGGAAAGCTGGTGGGGTAACGAAGTTGGGGGTGGCAGAAAGGGGATGGGAGGAACTAGGGTGTAGCAGCAGGTATCTGGCGCCAGGTTCATGGTGAAGAGCCCCCCCCCCCCCCCTCCACCCACCCACCCATATCCTGCACAGTCAATCCCCTGGACTCCAGGGTAATCAATGCTGGCAGGTATATTCCGCATCTCTTGTTTATGATATGGCTTGAACTCTGTCCATGTAAGGGACGCTGGACCCGGTTTCCAGGAGGTGTTGCTCCCCACCAATAGATGGAGCCCCCCCAGGTGTTAGCGGTGGCTGCTCTTATCAGCACCACTAGCACTGACGGGGAAGTGTTTAAAACGAAAAAGAAAAAAGAAAAAAGAAAAAAAAAACAAATCACAAAAATTTATGATGAATGGATTGACTCTCACCAAAAATGACAATATGGCAGACGCTGTCGGGAATTGTGGATTTCCGCAAAGACTAAAACTGGTATTCAAGTAATGAACCAACTTTGATTTGAACTTTGTCATGAGGCTGGCATTTGATTTCCTTGATCCTTTCCCACCTTCAGACAACGCCATGGGAGGGGGTTCTGGAGTACGTCTGCATGGAGTATGGTGGGGTCTCTTCATACTACCAAGCGTAGAATCTGTTTGAAAGTTTTCCGGTGAGAGGGAACTTAATCCCCTTGTCATGTCAAAGGGTAATCAACACTGGCCTGCTTTTGTACATAAGCTACGTTCATGTATAACTTATTAATTGTCGTCAGAGGGATGCTGGACCCAGTTTCCAGCAGGTGCCCATTGGAGCGTGTCTTTTTTATTAATAGGAGAAAAGAGAACAGTTTTTCCCATATTATGCTTTGTATTGATAGATGTTCCGAGTTCATTACCTAGATTCCTTCACTGCCTCAAGCACCGACAGACCTGGTAATGGAGGCCTTTGAAAAACTGTTCAAAATCAGTACATCTTCAATTGGGGTTCACTGGAAGCTACTGTCGCACGCAGGGATCGAGACACATGCGTCATCAGTTCGCATCCAGAGACTGATGGACAAGCAGAGGAAATGAACCACTGCACGCTATAGCTCAACTACCTCAGTCACTCATTGATCGCGATCGGAAGAATTTGGACCATGGTTTACAGGTTGTGAGGAGCTTTTACGACAATTTCATACACTCCACTATGAGTATGACCCCAAATGAGTTGCAGGTTGGTTGCCTGATCTGCAATCCCATGGAGTCCTACCTGACTGACACCCTAGTCGGACCCTTTTTTTTTCTTTTCTTTTTTTAAATGCCTGTGGGGCCTACTAGGGGGGTGGTATGAGCAGCGGCCTCCGCTAGTAGGTCCCTTGCTGGCCGCTCCATCTATTGGTGGGGAGCTTCACGTGCTGGAAATCGGGTCCAGCGTCCCATTGAACATGATGATAATGTTTGAACAAGATGTAGATCGAATGTAGATGAAGTGAGGGCTTGGAAAGAAGGCTAGGTACCTCTTTCCTCCTCCACAGGGTGCCTGATCCATAGTATCATTCCTGGTACGTTGTGCCTCCTTCAACCATGGGTACACGGCCGCAGCCTTGCAGAAAGTTTTTGTCGCCACAAGCAAAACTCGGAGGGGCCGCGCGGCGCGGGGCGCGGTTGGAAAGAAAAAAAAAGGACGGCCTTCGAAGCGGTGCGGGTTTCATGCTGACACCCGCGGGCCAATGTATGGTGTACTGGTGCTTTAAGCCCTAAACCCTAAAATCCTGGCCCCTGGGATGCCTGGTTATGGATTAATTATCACAATTTCCTCGCTCCTGCAGTCACAGCAGTGAACAAACCGCAGGATGTCATCATCAAGTACACAAATAAGTGGCATAAAAGTGCTACATTCAGAGAAGAAGATTATGTCTGGTCAGGATGTATGAGTTATCCTATAAAGAAGAAGTGTCGTGTAAACTTCTGCCACTCTACTATGGACTCCGGGCTATTATCAAGGTAGATGTGGAACGGAAGATTAGACAACTTACTGGGCCTAGCATGGCGTAGTTCAAGTGGTCAGTGTCTCATCGCAACTCGTAGGACCTCAATGGTAGACCCTCCTTCACTATTGGTTAACGGGGACCCCCACTTTTCGGCCCTGGGTTATGGTTTTCTTATAAATTGAGGTGAAAAATGGGGGGTCAGTTAACCATCTCTCCCCTCCTTCCCTGGCATAGTTACCGCCCTCTGCCTCTAGGCAGGGAAGATCCATAGCAAGGTGAAGGGCAATTGAGAGAAAGTCGGACATCATAGAAAGTGGGTGCTGAAAGATGTGCAGACAACAATTACCAGCTGTCCAACCACAAAGATCGGGGAGGGTCCGTCACAAAGATGTTCCTCATTGTCGTGAGCAGGCTGGAGTGTTAGACACTACCATCTTCACCCGATAAGTCATTATAGCGGTATTCACGGCAAACTTCAGTCTAGATACAGGGATAATGACTGGGTGTTCTATTCGGGAGAAGAATGTAGGCAGCAATTTGCAGGTTAACCCAGACGATGTCCCAAGTGTGCAATGTCCTCGGTCGTATCCGAGGCAGTAATTGGCAGCCTCTCTCTCTCTCTCTCTCTCTCTCTCTCTCTCTCTCTCTCTCTCTCTCTCTCTCTCT